TATCTCTTAAGGAGAGGGCAGGGTCTAAAAAAATAAATATAACAGCATTCACAAATGAGGCATATTAGCATCTAATTACTGACTGACAGAAGAATAATTGTACTACTGTCTACACTCCAGCAGACCTGAGGAGTGAAGGGGGAGAGATTTAACCAGGATTTTCTGATATGTTCTGAGTAATCAGTGTACAAAGTCATACCACAAAGGGAGAGAGAGCATGGTACTACATATTTAAAGATGTTCAACTGAAAAAACCAGCAAAAAACTGTAGACTTCACCAGTAGTAAACCACAAGCAACATAAGTCATACATTATCCACCAAATTTTCCAGATTTAAAAGAGAAAGAACATTACTATCAGAGATAGCTGCAGAGTAGCTGCACTTGAGGAATTTTAAAATTTTCAAGCTGCAATTTTCACAACATTAACGTTAATGAGGCCAAACTGCAGTCAACAATGCACTTATGAACTGCAACCAGCATTTGTGTTAGTTGACTGTCGCATGGATGTGTAAGAAATATGTAAATTAATGACAATTACAGATGTAATTCTACAAGAATGAAGAATTGCATTTTCTTTCCTGGCATCTAAATGAACTCTTGTAATTCTCATTAAGCCCTCATGTCTTGTGCAAACATATGAAGTTAAAAAATCTGCTGACAAATGTTCTTCATTAGTATCATCTTCAGATTTACACCTAGATAGATAAAAAAGATCACGTATGCAGGAAAATATGTTTTACAAGATGCTGTTCATAGCAGTGGAACCTTAACACCTCGTTGAGTGAGTCCTTCGAATCTCTTGAATGTGTAGTTTAGGAAAACCCAGTCTTTACTACCTGCCGCATCTGACTTTGTGTCTCTGAACCAGTCTGAAGAGGAATAAAGCATTTTGCATTTCATTTCCTGTGTCAAACTGATAGAGATTTTAGTTGCATACAGAGTACATAGTCCTACATGTAAATTGTGTGAACCCAAAGTAGGCTGCCAAATGCACAATTAACACTACAAAGACCAGTTTAGTCTAAATTCCTCGCTTATTACTGAATGGATGTAAGTCTCCATACTTAAAATTGCCTGATTTCCTCACAAATTATTAATCAAACTGTTCCATTCCCTTAGGACTTTCTGCTTATTTATTCTTTTTCAAATTTTCCTTTTAACACCCTTACCTCCACCAACTGGAAACCAATAAAATGACAAGCATGATTGGTGCAAGTACAAGCATGAATGGGGTAAGTTTGGCCTGTCATATGTATTAAACAAGCATGGTGACCAATCCTTTTTGTTGTATTTTTTGAAACCAACATTGGTAAATGGTAGGGAACATTTGAGGAAAGTTTGTTTAAAAAAAACTGTTTGATAACTTTTTTTCCCTGAGGAACACCTTAACCCTTTAACTCCCAGATCGAATTTGTAATTCTCCTTACTGTCAATCATAAAATTCTTATGATGTTAGTTCAAAGAATTTAGTATTATTATTTTTTTAAATTAATGTAACTACTGTAGATTCAAAAATCAAAACATTTCAGTACTTGAATCCAGTTCTGATTCCGGGAATTCATCAAAATTAGATGTGTCATCAATGGATTTCACATGTATTGGAATGGCTGCAGGTCTATCCCTGTAGATAGGAAAATTCATTCTATTATCAATCAACTCATAATCAATTTTAATGGGTAGTCAGTATAGATAAAATGGTATAATAGAGCTAGCACTTTGGTGCTGTAGACATAAACAGCCAGTATCTTGCAATCTTCTAATATAGCAGTAATTAGTAGTTACGCCCTTATCTCCTACTGGAGCATAAGCCAACAATGATCTCCCTCCTTCACCTCCTCCTGTCCTAGGTTAGTCTTTTGAGTGTGGTCCAGGTGCGGCCCCAATTCTTCGTCCCAGCCTAAACATCACCCACAAGTGTTTTTTGGGCATTCCCTTTTCTGTTTGCCGAGGGGAATCCATTTCAAGGCTTTCCTTGTAACACAGTCAGTATGTTCCCTCAAGGTGTGGTCAATCCATTACCTCTTCCTCTAATTGATTTGTATTTGAATTAATGTATTTTTATGTTGCAGTTGAAGATCCTGAGCTTTGTTCTGTTCCTCTACTACCACAGGTTCATTATAAATTACATTATGTTGGGGTTCAAATTTTCTTCATGTTTTAAGATTTATAACACAGTTTGATTTCCTATTTTTGACCTGAACCACTATAAAATGAAAATCGAACGAAATTTGAACATTTTAAACCAAGAAAATTTAAACATCAATTTACACATACTAGTGATAAAAATTTCAATATTTTAAAATGAAGGATGAGTATTTTTGGTCTTTTCAGCAATCCATGTGATTGTTAAAATATCAGAGAAATTGAAATGAAATACATCATTGTACAAAAATGAAATAAGTTACCTGATATTTTGCCAATCTACATCACAAAAAAATGGGTGAGCTTTTATTTCATCTATGTTACTGAGCCTTTTATCTGGATCACAGCACCATCTGAAAAGGCAAGCATTAAAAGAGAATTTGTAGAATAGTTTACAATAGTTTTAAATACAAAAAATTATGGACAGCAACACAACCGAAATCATAATCTAAATTTAAGTGATATTCTCGTTCAATAAAAAATAACAACTCATTGGCCTCAGACAATTATCATTAGCACAACTATTCTTTTCCAATTTACCAAAAAAAGCAAATGATATCTGTCATATCAAATAAATAACTCTAACAGAGTTGTTACAAAGCGCAAATTTGCCTGATAAAAAAGCTGGCTGGATCTCTGGCTGATGATTATTCAGTAAAGCCAACAGGCTTTTCTACAGTTACAAACTTACAATAGGTTGATATCAAACAATATCTTGGAGCCTCCTCACTTGAATTGAACTTAGACTCAAAAGAAATGGATACTAATTGAAGTGGCCAAATGGTAAGAACAAGAGTATCCCAAGGAGCACATAAAACTCCACATAACTACAATTTAACTGACTTAAGCTCAAGAAAATGCAAGTGGCTGAGTAATAATTGAATTTATCCCTTTCACTCCCAAGAGTGACAAAATAGTGATTTCTCCTTACAGTACAAGAAAGGTGGTGAGGAAAGAGAAAATATTCATTGGGGGAATATTGTTCAAATTTCAATACAAAAATTATTACAGTGAAAATGATGAGCAATGTTCAGTAGATAGTACAGAGAATTGATACTTTGACCTGGAGAATGAAAAGGTCTTTTTCCAATTGGCCGAGAAAGAGCTGCAAGTTTTATAAACCAATCACAGAGCATTGTAAAGCAAAAACAAACAAATTCAGCTCTGGATTACCTTCAACACTGACTTTAAAGAGTTGTAAAAACATCAAAATACATACCTTTCAATTAAACCTCTTGCATTATCTGAAATGGGCATCTCAGGTGGAAAGATCAGTGTTTCTTTCCAGTTCATAACCTTTTTGTATGTTTCTAAAATCACAGAAAATCACAGCTAGAGTGACAACCATGCAGCTATGTCCACTAATCCATGTATCTACTGATTGCAAGTTTCCAATTGTAATAAATGTGGGAAAAAAGAACGGCATTTAGGCTGATGTCAGCTTAACACAGTGTTTTCACCTAAACAGGACCCACTCCAAACAAATTTCATGGTATTCTATTTTACACACCTTATGGGCTATACCCTTGTAAATAAAGGCTGCAAATAAATCAGGTTCATTAAAGCAGGGTGGTACAATACTGTCAGTCTTAAGACATTCAATAAATACCCAAGCACAGAGTTAGGTGAGGTCACAACAACAAGAAAACAATTTAATGCTCACCTTGTGGACTTTCAGAGCAAAATGGTGGATAGCCTGAAATAAAATCATGAAACAAATACAAAAAAAATTAAACATAACAACAACAAAATAAATCAATATTTTGTTTTGGTTATGAGGTGTGGTGGTCTGGCTTCCAGTTGTAACGGTATGAAAGAACTCAATGCAAACATAATTTGCCAGCCACAGGATCAAAATAACAATTATGACATCAGAGAAGTGGGGGAAAAGACAAAGGTTGGAAGATAAGGAGTGAGGAATAAAAGATAAGGTTGGAGGGAGAGTGTTGAGATGCTGGGTTGGAAATATGAAATATCATAATTTATTTAACACATTCATACTTATTTTATACATAGAGACATGAACGATAGTGCTTCACAGTGGAGGGCAAAAAATGGCGTCCAGTCAGTTAAGATGTGTTGGTCGGTAAGGAAAAAAACCCTTAGTATGAATGAAATAAAAACATCATACCTTGGAAAGTGCTTGAATGATAAATTTATTCACTTATTGCAATGCATGAAAAAACTAACTTGTTTGCTTTGCTCACTTCTTAGTTTTTTTGATGCATCCCAACTCTATTTACATATTAACAAGCTGAGTCATACAAAAACTACAAATTATTAAAAATTTTCTATATTTCTCATACCATACCTATGAGCATTTCATACATGATCACTCCTAATGACCACCAGTCACAGCTTTTATTATAACCTGTCTGATGAAACACTTCTGGGGCAATGTAATCTGGAGTTCCCACTGTAGAATATGCCTGTCAATTGAATTTTTAAACATTTTATGAGCTTTCTAAACTTATGATCAATCCATGAATGCACTTGCAGCAAGTAAAACTGATCACTTATCCAAGTTTAACTTGCAAATTGAATTGTTCAAAGTTAGATAAAAATAACAATGTCTTTAATAAAATAATGATGTTTAAAATAGCTGCATTACTATCAAAAATCTGACAATTTTCAAAAGATATCATTGATAGTAAATATTCATTATAAATCAAGACGAAACTAATTTATTATTGCTACTAGTAAAACTTTGAGGTACCTTCTTTATGTCTAATGGCATTTGATTATGTGGTATGATTGTCTGAGAGAGGTTAGTTCCAAAAGGGATTGTGACTGAAATTTACCAACAATAATTGAAACCTAAACAGAAGCATTTCACTGATGATAACTCCCAACAGAATTTGGCTCTGGAACCACTTTAACATTTGTGTGATCACAGGATTCTTCGAGAAGTAAAAAGTCATTTTTTACCCCACCTTGAGTGAACAATATTAGATTTGACAATGTCAGTGACAGACGGTACCATGACAGACATTTTGACAACCTGAGCAGGATTAATAAGCAGTCAACAGACAAATTCTGGTTATGCTTCCCTCTCTGGTTGTCAATAAACTTGTCCCAATCACCAATGACAGCCCTTTTCATGGCTACCCTCAATCAGATGATCACACAGTCAGATGTTCAACTTCTTGGTAAAAGCCATTAAACTTCATTGTATAAAAGATTTTGATGGACACCTCAGCTTGAATTTTAAAGCTCATTTATTTATCAATATCATCAACTTGTCAATCTTCTTGTTCTAAGAAAAAATTTATTTCCAGTTAAGAACATACCAGTTGCCTCCTGTTTTTCTTCCATGTTGCTGCTCTGCCTTTTGTATCTAATGGTTCAGCTGATGCTAAAGGAAGGATGTACAGCATGTAACTTCATTTTCAGTTTCGGTTTACCACATTCGCTAAGTGTTATGTGTGTGGGAAAACTCACAACTGTAAATTAAAAATGATTTCAGAGAAACACAGGGGGAAGAAAGAAGAAAAGTTGTAGAAGGAAAATTAGATTAAATTCAGCATTTTCAGCACCTCAGTCAGTTGAAAATTTATGAAATCTCCCTGGTTGACCATAACCATTCATTATGCAATTTCTTTGGGGATAACAACTTCCTTACCCTTTTCTGGATGATTCATAAACTGTGAACTTTTTACTTTTCTTTCAAATAAATCCATTCAGATTGCCACACTCTTAAATACCTTAAATGGCACTTTTTACTTACAGAAATCTTTCATATCACTTGGTAAAATTTCTCTGTAAAATTCTGTTCTGTGTGCTTTCTTGAGACCAGTACAAAGACCAAAATCTGCTAATTTGATGTGTCCCTATGAAAATAAAAGTATAATTCAATTTAATTTGTTGCCTCACACTTAGAAAATTAGCTGCCCACATTTCTTCTCTCCTTTGACAAGTTGACAGTCCACCAGAACAGGGTTGTTTAAAGCTGGTTTCAGATCTGAAAGCTTTTAAAGAAAATGCAGTATAGTTCTTTTTGTCTACAATCCGATGGTTGGATTCTTTAGAAAAGTTTATTTGAATGTTCATTTGAAGGAACAAAAAAAATTAAGTCTTAGTTTGAAAAAGTAACTGAAAGATGTACATACTTTGCTATCTAACAGCAAATTGTCAGGTTTAATATCCCTGTAAAGAACAAAATGGTGTTTGAGAAAAAAAATATTAAATCAGTTAACTATCATAATAATCAGTGCATTAGTCAGACATCTGCAGATTTAAATAACATCTAATTCAATGAATTCACAATAATTCTACCCTTATAGGTACAACAAGTATAAAAACCAAGCAACAATAAAAAACACAATTAACAAAGTTTTAATAACAAGTCTAGTGCTCCTAACCTATGAATAAATCCAACTTGGTGAATGGAATTTATAGCAAGAACTGATTCTGCTATGTAGAATCGTGTCTCATCTTCAGTAAAAGTGTCTTTTTTCATGAGCATCGTCATCAGATCACCTACAAGAAAAATCATCTTAAAGGTGAGAAAAGTAACTAGTTCAAGCACAATCATGTTCTACAGCCCAAGTATGGCTTCTGGAAGGCAGCTGTTTGCCAGTACATGTACATGTATATGATTTTCAAACCTCACCAAAGCCAAGGAAAATAAACTTTATCAAAATAATCTACAAGGTCTGAGCAATGGGAGACCAACTCTCTTGTAGACAAAGGTCATGTGCTTACCACCTGGAAGAAACTCCATCACTAAATACAGATAATGTCCATCCTGGAACGAGTAGAACATCTTCACAACCCAAGGATTTTCTGCCTCAGCAAGAATGTCTCTCTCTGCGCGGGCATGAGCAACCTACATTAAAACACATGGTGTAAAACAGATCAAGTTTGGAAAGGTATTTCGGAAGAGTTTGGGTTATATCACAGAATTACCAGACAAGTGCTCTTTCTTGACTAACAAAAAACACAAGTGCAGACTTCACACATCTTTTTCTACGAGCAACCTACATTAAAATACACAATACAAACCATATCAGGTTTGGAAAAGGTATCTATTGAGGATTTTGTTTATATCACAGATTTACCAGAGCTCTTTTGACAGTAACAAAACAAAACAAAAAAAAAAAAAACAGTGGGGTTATTTATACCATTCAACTTTTTTCCAGACATTGAAGATAATAAGATTAGGTTTTACTTAGTTTGTAATTTACCTGTTCCTTTTCAAGCATGTCTTCTTTTCTCAAGATCTTCATTGCATATACATGGCCTGTGTCATGCTTTTGCACTAAACGTACCTACCAGGAATACATGATTCCAACAGTTTTAAACAGTCAAATACAAAGTACATGATCATCATTTTTCTTAGACATATGCACACATTACCACATATCTACATGAATGAATGTATTTTTACATCACAATCATGATGTTTTTTCAGAGTCAATTTTAAAACCACTTTGCGTAGTTTACGTGGTGATAATTGTTGCCAGATGAAAAAAACCTAAGTGAGATTTGATTTCTAAGTTACCATCCATTTTTTTAAAATACGTGAAAAACTATGTTTCTGTTTAAAGTTTTGAATAATTCTCATCTCTCTGTGTTTTTTGTTTGTTAGCATATGAAACAAAGGGGAATAAAATTGAGCTAGTTTGAATACTTTTATACTTTCTAGGAAACATTGTGAATAACAAAAGGAAAAAGACACCTCAGTGAGCCATTCAAATTTGGTACTATCTGGTTGATCTTAAAAAGAAGTTTATTTGATATGGATTTTGTAATAAAAATTAGTGATAAAAAGGAACAAGGTCATATTCAAGTTCTAGTACAGTATAAAAAATCATAAAAAATCATAAAAATTAGATACAACATAAGAATAGCATGTTTATAAAAAAAATATATTTTTAGACTATTATTTCTAGACTATTCTTTTAAATTCAAATGTTGTTTGTAATTATAAAATTTTACACAACTTAATACTTTTTTACATTCTAATCAGTTTTTTTAAAACTATTATTATATTAATTTTTTGGCTGTTTTTTAAATTTTTTTTAGATTTTGCTAGAACTTGAAAATGACCTTGGAGAGGTTGAAACATCAAATTTTTTAATCTTGTCAATAAAAATAATTTTTTTGGTTTTACTAACTACATCTCCAAGTTACTTCACAAGTGACAACTAGGTTTTGCTGAGTAACATTTAAGCAACAGTTTGAGACCAGACACAAAAAAAGAATAAAAAATTTATACTGTGGTTACAAGTTCATATCCATGTTACAAGATTGCGGAGGTGACGGCTTCAAAATTTTAAGGCAATAGTAGACTAATGTATATTCTCACCTCGCCAAAAGCACCACGTCCAACAACCTTTAAGGAATCAAAATCTTCTTTCCCAATTCTTGATCTTTTCAGTCTCAAAAACTCTGTTTCCTTCTTTGCAAGATGGCTTCTTGATTCTTTTTTCTAAAAGGAAAATGAATAAAATCCAAGGAAAAATTCCCCAATGATTCCTCTAAGTCAAAATATCAATACCTCTGTTTCATTAAGTTTGAAAGCTTCAATGATAACTAAGAAAAAATACCCTTTCCATTTACCTTTTTGTAGATTCTTCTTACAAGGATGAACAGTAACCCTTACAATGCTAGAAGGATTACTATATCTCCTATAGCTCAAAGATAGCTTGGTTAACCTTTTATAACTCCCATGAGTGACTAAAATAGAATTTCTCCTTTTAATACAATGTTAAACTACAACATCATGCAGGTCAGTGATGAGAATAAAAACAAATAACAACTAGGGGATTATTAATTGATCCAATACCCAATTCTCCAAACTAACATCATTAAAATTATATGGCAGACAGTAAAGACAATTACTCATGAGATTTTGGTAATAAAAAGATTAGAGTATATCTCCTCTCTTTGCTTCTGTAGCACCTGTACTTAATACAGCTGATTTTTTTCTGTGATGTAGCACTTATTCATAACAGGGCTGACTTGTTCAGTAAGTTCTATCTCATCTTGATCTGTTTATTAATGCAGCTTAGGAACAGACCAACAGACCATTCACTTCTTGATCTTTTTCCCTTTCCAAGGAAAACTTTACTGTTATCTTGCAACCAGGGTGTTAATTTAGCATCAGTGGGCAGAAAATTATCTCACCACTAAACAGAATCCTAAAGTTAAATTTTGATGGCCTAGGCTATTATTCATTTTTAAAGGCATATTGAGTTTGCTCCAGTTAGTTTTCCCTGTTCTCATGCTGCTATATTTCTTTATAACAGAGTGGCTACAATACTTCCTCATAACAAACCTGGACATGTAAGGGGAAATGTGAAATTCACTAATAAAACATAGAAACAACCCTGGGACCGGGGTTACTCTCCCACCCTACCTGTACATGTAACTCTTCTGGGGAGGTGTATGTAATTAGGGTCTTTTCTCTATCAGTGGCTCATCATCGAGCCTTACTTCCTTTAAGTACAGACACCTGAGAGCTACAACTCCCTCTTAACAAGCTGCTTATCCACAACTGCTTAAAGACTTATCCCCTGAAAAACTTTATTATATAAAAGGTCTCTTGTTTATTTGCTGTGAAATGTTGGTAGCTCTTATGCACAGTGACCTCACTTGTTGAAAATTCACCCCAGGCCTCTATGCACAAAGTTTTTCATTAATCTTTGCCACTTTCTAGTTTAAATGTGGGTGATCTTTGATTTCAGTGTTTTCCTATTAAAATTCATCAGTCCACACCATGAAATCATACCTTAGGGATAAAATTAGCTATTCCAATGTAAACATTCTCAAGGCCTATTGAAAAAAATAGAGCTGTGCCACAGGAAACTGACTTTTTTACTTTCTGCTACTTATCTAACCCTGAAGTAAATAAATAGGGTTACACCAACAGACAGTGATTCCTTTAACACTTTATTTCCTAAGAGTGACTGGCATGTAGTTTCTCCTTACAGTTTTACCCTTGAATCAAATATAAAGGTCACAAGAATTAAGGAAATGATCACCAATGTGAGAAGCTCCTGATCATCAAACAAATTCTCCTTGCCATTACCATAGGAAATAGAAAGAGAACAGTGCAGAGAATATGAATATTAATGTTGGGGTGTAAAGGGTTAAGAGTATAGGTGTGTGAACCCTTGCAAAGACAAGTAATGCTTCAAATATGACATCACCTTGGCTATATTGCTGGTGCAAAACAATGAAACATAGGTTATATTGGTGGTCTGAAACCATAACAGTGGGAGATAACTAAAATGCACATTTGCTTCTCTTATTTTTGTTTCTTTTTGTTTCGGGAAACAAATAAGGCTACTTGTCACTTAAGGGGCAAAATCTACACAGGTGTTTTAGACTAGAGGCTATTCCACAGAAAAATCATTTCCTAACCTTCTCATAACTAGTCCAAATCCTTTCTCCCTTGAGAAAACTTATATACAGAGATACTAAATGTACAACATAAAAAAAATGATATACGTCAAAAGCAAAACCAAAGGCAACATACAGTTCATCAATCGACGATGTAAAAGTTTATGTCGTCACGTTCAAGTCGATGACACTTCAATAATTATTGATGGCGAAATTAATTATAGTATTCGTGATGTTGATGGTGATTTTTTTGGACGAAATATAATGACGTCCAAACCTTGTTTTTCAAACCAGAGAAAATCTGTTTTATTTCGCAGCTTGGCCTTCATGCTGTGTCTTTCAATCGTTAGGGAAAATTTACATGACTCGGTCTGATATGTATGCAAAAACTTTGCAAATTAATTTTCCGCTAAGCTGGCGATATTACGACACGAGCTTTCTCAAGTTTGTTTGCGGTTAAAATCCTCTAATATCCTAAATGTCTTTTAAACTGCTGTTGTACTATCAAGGTCGAAAATTAAACAGCTCAAAATTGGATAAAGTCAAAACACATGTCAGCCTTAAGTAAATATTCGGGGCAAAAAACCTTAGTCTACTTAGATACAACGCAACATTTTAAACGAACCCTCGTAAACGTTCGGATATCTTCGATTATTTTCCAAACGAAAATACTCGCCATTCGTTGCAATTTTAATTTACAGAATAGTAATACTCGGCTTCTCTATTAAAAGTAACAATTTGATTTCATGTCAGCAACAACTACTATTCTAATTCAACTCGGGTTTCCTGTACGTTGTGAAGTTTCGATAGCAAGTCATCGCCATTCATTAATTCGTAAAGTAGACAAAACTTGAAGCACTGCAACGAAAGCTACTAAATGCTCCGAATGTGTCAAAACTTAAAACATATTACAGGAAATACCCTACCAACTCACCTCTTCTTCTGTCAACCCTTGTTGTTCCATATTCATTTCCAAGACTTTCCATCTAAAACAAGAAAACCAATAATTACTTCAAGGCCACAAATTTCGTGAATCTGTTTTTACACAGCAAACTTCTGGCCATGGGATGTATTTCTGCCATGAATGTACTAAACTCGACGAAGTTGGGACACCAAAAAACACTAATTTACACCAAGGAGATGTTTTGCGATCAGACCTGTTCTGTCTCTCTTGGTGTTGAGTGATCAAGTTTGCGTAGAAACTTTCAATCGTTGCTTTAGTTCTCGCCACCTTTTCAAGAGTATGATTGGAGTATCTATCGGCAGCTCCATTTGTACTCATGGCTGTGTTAGCCAGCAACAAAATTCCTGGCCGGAAAAAGCTTCTTGGCCTTTTAAAACAACGACGTTCCCAACACAACTGCCTGACGTGACGAACAAGTGTTACACTTAGTCACCAGTGCTCCGGTAACGAAAGCCAGACAATCAAACTAACGTAAAAATTGATTGGTTACTGTACAAGCTGTCGTTTTTGTATAATTTTCTTAAAAGGCTTCTTCTAATTGGACATAAGATTCTCAACTTTGGCGCGAAATGACGTCATTAAAATATTGTAGTTGGGGAGGGAGGGGAGAGGCAAAATGATATTTGTTCGCCGCCTGAAAAGAGGTTTTTCCTTCTGGTCCTGCGTCAAAGAAAGAAAATATACTTGTTTTGTAAAGAAAATGGCTACTAGTTTGTGTGGTTCGAACAACAGAAGTGCTCTATCTTTAACCAAATGAAAATGACTTATTTGATTTCATGACCATGGATGGATGGGGTGGCTGGGTATAATTTGGCCATCGCTTGCGGGATTTTTGGTCAGTGGCCTCTATAAGCGACAAAAAACTCTTCACATACAGAGCCTCAAAAATTCAAAATGGCGACCAGTTTCAAGAAAAAGAGTACGCGAGGTCGTGCTATTTATCCCCCAGGAACAAGGCCTTCTCTTCATAATAATCAACTTCTAGTATCTTCTGGAGTTCCATCTATGGATAGCGTTATAGGTGAGACTCACTGACTCAGTCTATTGTGGACTGGTAAACGTTTTTGTGTTAAGTTTTTCACACAGTCTTGGCAATCCTGGCTAATCGTGATTAATTAAAATCATTTTTCCAGGGGGTGGAATTGCCGTAGGCGCCGTTTTTATGGTTGGTAGGTATTTTAAGTCTGTTTCCTCCTATATTATTTCTTATACGCCATCTTGTCCACTTGACTAATTTTCTGGGTAAATTATTCGGAAAATAACATAACAGCTTTAAATTAATCAATCAATCAGCTGATTTCAAATTTAATTCCTGGTAGTTCTTGACCAGGTATTCGATAAGAACAGATTGTTAGTTTGAACAAGTAAGCTAACTTTATTTATGCCTCTTTTTTTCTTTTTGCCTCTGTCTCATTTGTCACCCTTGAATTCGAATGTGTGCTGACATGCATCCCATTTCACAGGCTTCCCTAAGGAGCAGTTGCCTTGATGTGTGGTGGTCTTTTTTAGTCATAGCTAAGAACACAATTAGTACACAGACTTAAGAGTCTTATTGATTACCAAACATTATTTAACTGAATATTTTACCTTTCCAGTTCTCAGATCACTCTGTAGTAATTGTAATGCCAAATAACAACTGTTGCATTTTACACAAAAAGATATCTTGCATTTAATGCAACAAAAAGAAGAAAAATTAGAAAAAGGGAAGTATTCATTAGAAATATAAATTCTTTCTTTGTACACTTTTAATGTCTATCTTGGATTTTCGGACAAGATGAATAGTACTCTGGAATATGGTCAGAGCCCAACCACAAATGTTAAATCACCCATTAACAAATGACATTATATTTTGGGAATCTGTAGTTTTATGAAACTGACTGTTTTATCAGGTTCAAAGTCATTTGGGTGCCTCACTGCTTTTATTAAACTTTTGAGATTAAAATTATCTGTTTACCTTCTCTATTTCTTAAATATTTGGCAATTTTTTTTCTTCTCTTTAGAGGAAGACACTTATAGTTCATATGCCCGACAACTTTCAAAGTATTTTCTGGCTGAAGGAGTGATATCTGGTCATTCAATATTCCTGGCATCTGCTGAACCAGAACCCAATGATATTTTGAAGGTAATTAACATCTCTGTTTTCCATAACTTAGGTTAATGTTTATTAAAGATTTCTACCTAAGAGAGAAGCAGATGACATGGCAGCTTAGCCTAGTTTTTATACCATAATTTAACTAAGCAAATAAGCTCCCATGATGCTTAATATTTGATTTTCTAAAGGGTTAGTGGGACACTAGTTTAAAGGGGTGCTTTACATTGCGGGGGTGTCTGCTCCATTTTTCAAATTCCAACCTTAAAATAACATGCACTCTATTTATAACGATTATCCCAAAAGTAAAATAATAAGAAGAAACTTTTGATTATAATTATATATCAATAGGACAAAAACTTGGAAGCATTTTACCCCTAGTAAATCTTTTGGATAGTCCTCTTGAGGAAATGAGAAGTAACTAATTGAGACTCATGAGACTAAAGAAAGGTTTCTATACTGTTTATATTATAGAACTTGAAAGTATCATTTGCACCTCATATATCATAACTGATTCCTGGAATTGATCCTTCTTGATAGATTTTTGAGGGGGGCTTCTTTGGAGATAGGGTTTTGTCATATTTTTGAATTCAGGAACTGGCTGATCTCATCAAATCAACTAAAGAGTCATCCCAGTGCAATGTGAGGTAATAAAAAGAAAATGAAAACATGTGTGACTGTTGATTTTTTCCTTCTTTGCTTCAGGATCTTCCACAACAAGTTGATAATAAAACTTATAGTGTAGATGAACCAGGAGATAGTTCTTCACCAATTCAGTCTATGAAGATTGCTTGGAGATATCAGAATCAACCCAAGCTTGAGGTCAGTTCCTAATCTGGATGGTTATGTCTTTATATACTTCCTGCAATTTGATCAATTTGGCTGGGATTTGATCCAATAAAAAATTCCTGAAATGAGTGGAAAAATAGTAAACACCATGAAAATAATAATGTTCCTTGACAAAGTCCTTAAAAATTTGGAAGTTCTCAATCAATTCATAAAACCTTTTTGTCTGGAAAAATGTTGCACTCCTGCTGCAAGGTGAAATGAAGAAAATTAAACTGTATATTGAGGGTGAAAAGGGGAGAAGGAGTGGGTGAACTTCAGTAGATTTATTGTAGGCTGTTTTATACCTCACCTATTTGTATTGAAAGATCAATCATTTAGCCAGAGAATTCTGCTTAGAGACCAGATAATTTTCTGATATTTGCTGCCATATGAACCAGCAGCCTGATAGTATCACAAACTTCAAGTTTATTTTTCACATGGTTTCCATTTTTTTTCCTTTTTTAATCCACAGTCATCGCCATCATCTGGTTCATTTGGTCACTACTTTGATTTGACCAGAGTTATGGATGAAACTAAGCTAAGCTCTATTCCTATTCAAACCTTCAGTGTGACCAGTGAAATGGCAAAGTGTCTCAGTTGCACAGAGGAAAGGAAGTAAGTAAGTGGGATAAAACCTTCTTCAGTTGACTTCTTAGCTGCTCAAAAATACTTCTGAAATGAGAAGATATCATAACTTTGAACCTGGTGACTGGGTTCAGATAAATTTTGCCAGAATAAAAGTTAGAAAATCAGGCATAATGCTGGCATAAAGGCTAAATTTGGTTTAAATTTCCTTTACATTCAACAAGAGATAAATTCAGTATCCTGAGCACTGTCAACAGTGTGCTTGTTTTTCTTGCTTGCACTGTAGAAATTTGATCCACTAAAATGTTGGGTTCTGAACTTTGGCAAGTTTTAATAGTTTGCAGTAGGAATT